TTCTCATGTAATAGCACAATGTAGAGTGTCGGGGAACCCGTCTATAGCGCTGGTATCAACATGGCAACCTCAATCATCGAAGACCTGTTCCACTAATAGTCCACAACTGGACCACTAATACAGTGTTATAGTCACACTCACAGTCACGCTGGCTGTTTTAATAATAAAATGATTGTAAATAAACAAACCTCTCAATACAACAATACACAATATATACACAATATAAACAATACACAATACCCTCAGAAAGCATCTCGGAGCATTCGTGAGATCAAAAATTATCCCGCGCAACCACTATCGACATCATGCTTTTAAGGGCTAGTTGAAAACCAGAAGGGCTAGTACAAACCTTACCTTACTAGCCCTTTGGGCTAACTTGCATATTGTCCTTATTTCTACCCCTGATATTTATCCCATCATCAATATTCAACAATGGTGCTAGTATAAGCTAGTAACAATGGAGTAGACGGAACCTTCAGAGAAACCACTGTGGTCCAGTTGTTATAGTGCATCTACTCTTCACTGTGAGTAAAAGTTCCAATCAGTTTAGATAAATTTTTCAACGTGTAGAAACCTGGCCCTCAACATAGTGAACTTGGAATCCCTCGTAGCACAGATGACACTATTTACCTGGATGCCACTTAATTGTCCCCGTAAAGACAAGTGGCTATATCTAGGGGTTAGGAATTTGCTATAATTAAAGCTTATATAAAACCCTTGTTACGCAGAAACATATCGAGATGGCGTTTATAAAAGGCCTACTGCTTCAGTGGGGAGACTATTCCATAGGCCGATCTACTCGGTGACTAAAGAAGTATTTGCGGACGTCTAATCTGGCTCAATCTCTGTTTGTACAAATTGAACTTGTACACTATACCTCTACCCATACAACCCTTCACTCCCACCCCACGTGCTACAGTATAGTGAACCTACCTTCCTTTCTGTAGCGGGAGCAAAGCTCTAGCTATCAGCTCTATAGTACCACTAAAAATATACACGCGTTTGTGCATTCTGACAGATCCATGCAGGTACCTAGTAGTATTTGTAAGAAAAACTTGGTCAGGGAACCAGACAATAGTTATAGTATATTGCTCGGATAAACAGTTGGTTGTACCGTTGTAGCATGGTCGTAGCTAGCTCACATCGCGACGTATACGTACTATGAACTATGAACATGAAGCTGATATATTTAAAAGTCCAAAATGATGAACTATAAAATAAGGAGTTTTCAGCCATGAAAAGTGGGGGCCCCCCACTTTTTTGACTGGGGGGCTAAAGCCCCCCCCCCCGATTCCTACGCCCTTAAAGTCTGACCACAGCTGACCTAGCCCTAGGGCTCGTGTGTCGTGTGTAGGCCTAATGCAGTAATGGCAATGCCAACACACATGCACATCACTAAACTATTGCTATTATAGTATTATTATACTTATTCACTAAAATTTAAAAACTAGTGACGCGTCGGTGAGTCAACCAGGCCTAAAATAAGGATATGAGCGATTTATTAACGATCACGCACACGCACCAGCAAATACGTGTACGTCTAAGTACGTACGTGGGTGCGCGTGTGTCTGCTCAGTCTCATCATCATGTACGCACCATCAAACACACAACTTCACAAGTGAAGTGTCACCTACCCACCTGTTTTGCTTCAGACCATTCTTTCATTTGGTTCGTTGCCTTGTCCCTTCCAGCCATCTCGATCTAGTTTGAGTTCTTGCGAGCAACTTCCAAACACGATAACCCGTCGAGAGAGAAAGCGAGCGAGAGAGTGCGTCGACACCAATCTAGCACGTCGACAGAGGAGAAACGCGACATCAAAATGTTTACCTTTGACCCCATGCCGCCGCGTGACACCTAGACTGGTACTTGCTGCCAATCTCGGCTTAGTTACTCCATAGATATATACAACACATGTGTTATATATCTATGGTTACTCGAGTAATCGAGGTGGGAGCGAGCAAAGGGAGCGAGTACCAGTCTACCTGACAGCCACCACAGCGACGTCACAGTTTAACCACGCCCTTGGGTCACGCCTCCATTTGAACAAGTGCACATGTCTTGGTGCATGTGTATGTTTTTTGACATGTTTTGAACGATGTGAAATTCTGCGATTCTGAAATGCTGAAATTTTTGCTGATCGTTAACAAACAAGGACATTTACGACTATCTAAATTCTGGTGTCACGACAAGACAGTGAATAAAACTGTGTTAGCGTCAGACGTAATTAGGAACTGTCTTTGTAGGGATGAAAAGCAGGTATGTTACGTATCGTATGTACACTGTACAGCTGAGCAGATGTAAACCCTTTCGGATTTCCTGCATCGGGAGCGAAGCCGAAGGGGCACCATTTGATGACAATTTTTTACCCTTTTAGTTTTAATTACTTTGTGTCGTGACTTAATTGTCT